GGTTGTGCACTTAGGCAGGAAAAGGCAAATGCAAAGTACAAGATAGAGGACCACCTGTCTCTCACAGTATCTGCCTGGCGAATTAGATTTTGCAGGATTGGCACACTCCGGATCCTTTCAATTAAACAGTATCATCTATCAGGACCCCAGAAGCACACTTTCTATGTAACAGTACCTCCCCTCTGCATGAGGTTCCCTCTGAGATCCAGATGGTCTCTACCTTGCTCTTGTTTAAAAAGACCTCAAAGGCCTGATTCTTTGCCCAGGCTTTTGGTGAGGGAAAGTGAAATTTCTGTAATTTTCATTATCTTCTATTTTTTTTTCCTGTTTATTAGTGTATTTCTCTTGTTTAAGTTGTGAGCCACCCAGAGTCGTTGGGAGTAAGGTGGCATACAAAGGGAGGGAGGGAGGGAAAGTACCTGGTTTAGCCATAGTATTTTCTTGGTGGACAAAAGATTAAGCATGAGTCAGCAATGCACTGCAGCTGCCAAAAGAGTCAATGCAGTGTTGGCCTGCATCAGTAGAGCTATAGTGTCACGATCACTGGTATAGTACTGCTGTACTATCAGTGGTCATGATCACTGGTCAGACTGCACCTGGAATTCTGTGTCCAATTCTGGTTGTTGGGAGAATACAAGAAGGTAACTAAGGAATTGGAAAGAGTACAGAGAAGAGCAACAAGGATGAAGGGACGCCACAGGACAGAGAGTATGGATTTGTTCTCAATAGCACCCAAGGGTAAGACAAGAACCAATGAGATAAAGCTTAACAGAGAGAGATCCAAATTTGGAAATAAGGAAGAATCTAAATATTAGGTACGCAAAAAGAATGTTAATTAGTATGTTGTGAACTTACAGTTGACAACAAACTTGTAAAAGTAGTGGATAGTTTTGTTTTCTTGGGAATAAGAATAGATAAAGATGTAAACTGTGCTGAAGAATTAAGAAGGAAATTAATCCTAGGGAGGAAGAAAATGAAAAACTTAGATAAAATTATGAAGGGTAAGGATATTTCTATGGCAACAAAAATCAGAATAGTTAACACAGTAGCCTTCCCAGTGGTAATGTAAATCTTTGAAAGCTGGACACTGAGAGAGTGAGAAAATAAAACTCCTTTGAACTTTGAATCTGGAGATGGTTATTAAAAATACCATGAACTACAAGAAGATCCAATCAATCAGTCCTGGGCAACAACAACAGAAAAAGGACTGACTGCTCCTTTGAGATGATAATCAGAAAGCAGAAAGTCATGCTCTTCAGGCATTTTATACATACATACATACATATATACATACTATAAAAATTGTCTGTTTGACAAGGTTAAGGAAAATAGAAGAGAAAAAAGGATAAGGTAGACTGATGGTATCAAAAAAAAAAAATTTACAAGACTCCCCTTGAATGAGCTAAAGATTACTAAAAAGATAGGTTGCTAAAGTCCATGCATTCACCAGGATTTGATTTGACGGCACCTAACTCTGCAGAGATTTGTACCAATGACCATCCTAAAACTGATTAGAGAGTGAATAGTATTGGCATCCTAGAAGAAAAATGGTACAGTCTTTCTATCCTGGGATGTTGAATTATGAGAATTCTTAGGTTGCTAATATTACAAGACTTCTTCACCTGTTCCCAGAATTCATAGAAGAGAATTTTGTGGGCTACTGTCTCAATCAAGTACAGTTTTCAATTTAAAGTAGTTTCCTGTTGGGAATGCTATAGACCTTAAAGAACATACTAATAAAAAAAATTAGAAGGTCATTGGCTTCTGTTCAGGATCTAGAAGATATATATGAGTCAAGATTATAATCGATTTGAACTCTCAAGTGCTGGCTAGGATTAACACTATTAAAGATGCTGTTTCTGTCAAGGCTTTTGAAAGTTAAAATACACAATAAAAAGTTCTACAGGTTTCTGAGCCAGATAACATAGTACTTCAAAATCAATTTTGTACATAGAGAAGCAGTAATTTTCTTGGAGCTTTTTGAATAAATATTCTGGGTCCTTGCCTGACCTGTAGGAATCAAACATACACATAATCGTAATTGAGGTAAAGCCATATGTTTCTCACTGCCAGTTCTAAGCTACAGTTGGTCAAAGCAAGAATTACAGTTTCAGCAAAATGAAATGTCATAGCCTGTTAAAAGAAAATAAAATGCAGAACTTGGATGCAGATAAGTACGAGATACTGTGTGACAAAGACTGGGAAGATGATATAAACGTTTACTGTGTAAGCACACACTGTGTTTCTAGATTTCAGTAAAACAAAGCCTTCATAAACAGGCGAAAAGTATTTTTATTTACTTTTTGTAGATGCTGCTAGGAAACTTCCCCACTTTTAACAAACCATAGCAGCATATGGAATGGTGCACCTATAAATAATAAAGACATAATAAATGTAATAATTAACAAATAATAAAGAGATGTTAGATGTTTACATGACTAGAAAGTATTATAGAAATACTGATCCCCCTTTTATTCAGTATTTTGCTTCTTCTAAGTGGAGACACAATCTATTAACTATGGCATAGAGTAGTTCATAAAATATAAAGTAGAGGCAACATTTTCTCCAAAGATCAGATAAGGGGAACTAACAGTTATAGCTTCAGGCACTGGTTGTAAGTCACTATTTTTAGCGCCATCATAACTTCAAATGACCACTAAGCGAACAGTTGTTAAGCAAGGACTACCTGTATAAAACATTTAATGAGCTTAACTTTGCTACTCTTGATCTGTTTTCTTTTTACTATAACACATAAATACTAAATATTTATAAGTGATCCTTCAACTAACTTTGAAAATAGCATCTAGGAACTGGCAGCTAATAATCGGAAGCATATTGCTCTTGCTGTTAGGGATAATGTCACAACTAATAGCAATCAAAGTTTATTCTCCATGAATATGTCTTTATAAAGATGTCCACATTGACAAGAATGGTGCAAAGTGTTCCAAATGTGGTGGTGGTATAGATTTGTTTAAAGAATGGTTATGTTGGCAATTTTTAGTACCTTTCCTAATTATCGTCACCATGGAATTACCTTTTTCACAGTAGCTACCTGCATTATGGGTCAACATTTCATCAAACTATATATCATGACTGCAAGAACTGAAGATTACTCTAGTCCACAACAAATGAGAACAAGCATTTTGATTTTTTTTTCCACCTCCCTCTGTCAGACCAGGTGAAGAATAATTTTGGCAGTAAAAAGTCCTGGAGAGAAGAGAATAAAAATTATTACTAAACAGGAATAATATTGCAGGGGGGTATTAACTAAGTGCAGATTTCTTATCATGTATATGTGTAGGACAGGAAGCTGTGAAATAGAATACATTTAGACACCTTCCAGTATGCATGTACTGTGGGTTCGGGGCTAATGCACCTTATGCTTATGAGCATGGTAAGTAATACGATATGACAGACCATATCATAGAAGTGGGTCTGATTAATGAGCAGCTCAGAAAAGGAGGCCAATAAGCAAAGAAGGGTCACTATCCAATTTATGAAAAGGGGAAAAAGAAGTATCAAAGCATTAGGGTGAGGAGTTATGCAGAAAGGCAATTAATCAGCATTGCCTTTATAGGAGGCCAAATGTATTTTTGCTGACTTCATTCCCTTCGCAAGCCAACACCATGCAAAATCAACAGTAAACAACTGAAACTGCATCTTCAAGGGCCTCAGTGTTATATAAGAATACGAAGGGCCTTCCTTAAGTGAAAAATGAAAAAGCTAACATTGAAATGAAAGCATGTATTAATACTGTATGTGTTATGTTTCTTTTTTTAAAAAAATCCTTGCTGGAATAAAGCAAGTGTTTTTTAATCCCTTTTGGCAAAATAGGGAGAATTTCATCAACAATGTATGTCCTTCCTTGTGTGAAAGAAGATGGGTTCTTTGGTTTGTCTGATTACATTAGACCTATTTCCTGCTTCTTCTCTAAGAGCTTAAGGCATGTTAGCTTTTTGCTGCCAGAAGGAAAAGAAAAAAACAGTGGATGTCTCCCTTGCGGTACCCTCAGTTTAAATTTTTAGCTGGTGATTGTATTTTAATGTCATTGTGAGTCCTGAACTATTGTTTTTTTCTGCCAGTATTGTTCATTATTATATATTAATACCATGTGTGATGAGGCATTGCCATATTAAAGACAGTTGAAAACCAATTAATGATATTCATAGAAGTTATATCTATCTATAGCTACTATAGCTCTACTATATGAATGACAGCATCCCTAAGTACCAGAAAGTTGACATTGTTAGGCCAAATGGCCTTATTCTAAATGCAGTCTATAGTGATAGTATTAGTTCTCAACAGAAATTAAAAACACCTGGAAAACAATATTGAAATAATTTTCAATTAGAAATACTGTAATAGATGCAAAACTTCTTTATTCAAATATAATATCTCTTTGTTGAATGGATAAAATGCAGAGTACATAGTTCACTGTTACTTCTTCATACACTTAAATAATTGTGTTTGCATTATATATTTTAATAGAATTAGAATTTTATTTTTTTAATTTAAACTTTTAAATCTCTGGCATTTGTTCACAGGGAAGATGTCTCAACTCATCATTATTTAAATTATCCAATCCTATATCTTTTGTTTTGTTTATTTACAGAGGGGGCAATAGGAAGAATAGTACATACTCTAAGTACATGTCAAATTACACTTCTATTAGGATATTTCTTTTTTTGTATTAGCAATTATTCAAAAACATTATTAAAATAATTTGCAGGTTTGAATTTACCACTTGCCCATTATGATGCCTAAATCCAGTGTTCTGTTTTATCACAACCAAAGGAAACATTAGCGCATTATTGATCAGCTCATGTTGAATCTCCTCAGTCATTTAGTGTGGAAAAGTCATTTTGGAAGATGTCATTGTTTCTTTCACAATTTACTATCCAGAATCATTTGAAGTCATTTGCTAACTGTTCATCTTTTTTCCAGATAATTTATGAACAATTCCCTCATACTTCATCTTGTTTCTTTTCAGTGCAGGCACAACTTTTCTCTTTTCTCTGCCTCAATGAATGTCTGCATCAAGTCCAAAGCTTGGAGTGATTTACCTGAAGAGTGATATCATTCAGAAACCACTGTAAGTTAATTGTGTATATCTCTATATAATACTACTGCTTAAGGCCAAAAAGAAAGTATCAGAACTTTCTAAGAAATTAGAAGCTAGCATACACAGGATGTACCAAAAGTTAGGCCCCTTAAGCCAATCACAATATGTTTTATTAACTTTTTGTTTCAGAGAAAATGTTACTTGTACTTAGGAATGATCAAAGGTCATGTGTGAAATGAGTAACTACATTTTAGAAGAAAATGGCAACCAATTGATCATTTAATGTAATTTATATAGCGAATTGTATATGGCACCTGACTTTTGCTACATCCTGTATTTTCACAGGTTACAAAGAGAGTCAGAAGTAAGTATAGAAGCAAAGTTGCAATAGTGTTTCAGTTGCATTTTATGGGACTTCTGCCAGTCAATAGAGTTGGGATTTGGCATTTCAGGTCAGCTGAGAAGGCAATATTAAATAGCTTACAAGGCAAACTTAAGACTCAAGTAATTTAAAGCCATCTATTTAATAAGCATTTGTTATGATTAAAAATAACAAAGGATCACTCACCTAACATTTCTGATTCTCAGAAAATAAAAATTGGATTGTCTGATGATCTTTTCCCTCCTTGTAAGGACTTACGAACAATTAATAATACCAACAATTAATAGTACCAATACTGTGGAGCCAGTAATGATTGATAAAATAACCCAACCTGAAATTACATTGTTAGAGTTCCCGATCAACAACAGCAAGTAATTTTTCTGCATTGAATTATTTATCCAACAATTAGCTAAGATAATCCTTTGACTGGCAAAACAGGGGGGTAAAGCATTTCCTCCAGCATTCCTTGTTTACAAATCCAGATTGAGAAGAAGCAGTTAGTGTACGGTATAATTGGTGGAATGTAGGCAACAGCATTTTGGCTTGATTGACTGATTGATCAATTATGTGCCATCAAGACAGCGTTGACTCTTAGCGACCACACATAGATAGATTTATCTATGTTATATATCTGAATAAAGATAGTCTGGTCTTTTGAAGTGGAGTTGATGAATATGCATAGAAATGAAAGTATAGGTGTAATTATGAATAAAAGAGGTAAAATATGTGGAAGAAAATATGAATCAGTGTTATTTAGGTTGTTGCAGTAGTGCATGAAAGTAGGAATTCATAAGTTGATGATAGTGCATGTGAATGGTGAAAATGAAAGAATCAAGAATGAGTTTTGAGAAAGGTTGTGCAGTATTCTGAATTCAGCAGGTTATTGAGAAATGTATGATTGTGAGAAAGCTTACTATATGTTTGGTGACATAAAGAAAGCTTATGATAAAGTGAGTAGATTTTAATATTGAACATTTTTCACAATGCAGTAAGAGGAGCTTATGATAAAAATAAAGCATGTATGAATATAAATGGAATACTCAGTGAATGGTTCAGCACTAAGCAGGGAATAAAACAAGGATATGGGAGGTTCCCTTAACTGTTTAATTTATTCATGGATAACTGAATAACAGTCTGTGGTTATGTTAGAGGTATGTTGGTTGGGGATGTGGAGATGTCTATACTTTTGTATGCAGATGATGCTGTGTTAAATAGATATTCTTTAATATAGTTATTGAACACCAACATAAAACATAGGGTACATAGGGTAGACAATACATGATAATGTAATACCCACCATTTTGCCAAAGTTTATAAATGATATAGCAACATTTTACATCATTAGGGAAATGGTTATATTTCTGTCAGAGAATAAATCATTCAAGTAAAACAAATCTGAGTGCTCTGAGAATTTTATATGTAAACCATTTATTAAGTGAGAGTGGATATCTCTGTAAAATGTACAGTGCATGTGGTCTCAGGGCCACAAGGGTAAAGTCTAAACATGTAAGGAATTTTCTGAAATTTCCCCTCCATGATTGCTGTTGGGAGCACATTAAAGCAAGTTAAAGATAAGGCTCTTCTGAATTTTCGAGCTGTTATTTGATATAAATATGAGGCTAGTTGTAGAAATAAAGATTAATGATTCACAGTAATCATTATCTCTAGGGGGGTGATGCTGTGTTATTAGCTAAGAACCCAAAGTATTTGCAGTATATCTTAAGACTGTATGATGCAACAAGGAGTATGGATCTGAAAATTAATGTATTAAAGACCAAGATAGCTGTGGTTTTTTGTACAGAAAAAACAGAGAAAATGGAGTGATCAATTCCAAGTTATACTTAAATGACAAAAATTAGAGCAAGTAGATAAGCTGAATGCAGTTAAATTTAAGTCAAAATAAGTATGTACGCTAAAATAAGAGACAGTTTCAAGAATGAATGAGTGCTGAATGTGGATTGAACACCAAAATGATTGACTAACTGCCTTCCAGAAGGTGCTCAAAAAGAGTTCTTCTGGGGAACATTTGGGCTTTGATCCCATTTTGGTTTAGTTATAGTTTGGTTCAGTTAACTTTTTTCTATATTTTTCATGAGTTTGTGGACCTTTTATTTGTATTTATTTGTACTTATTTGTATATTTTTGTTTATTGTATTTTGTTTTTATACAATTTTAATCCTAACCCTATCTATAAACCACTGAGAATCCTTAGGGTTCATCAGTCTATCATCATCATCATCATCATCAATAATGATAATAATCATCATCATCATCTTATGGGATGCTGCTTTTAATATATTTGCAAGAATTAATGCTTGAAATTCCTTCTAAATTAATTTTCTTAATTTTTCTGCTAGTATTATAAGTACTATTCAAACCTTCCAATTTGATGTTTATATTTGTTTGGTCAAGTGGAAAGAGTGGAAAAAGTCCAGTTGCATAATTTACCTGTTTGAATGGAACTTAGGCAAGGTTGCCTTTTTATTCTTTCCAATCTAACTAAACATTGGAAAAAATAATGTAAAGGAGATTGAAAGTTTCTCTGCTCAACAGTGTGATAACTCTCCAAAAACTGAATAGAATGGGATGAAATTTAGTGCTGGAAAAAAGACAGCAAAAGAAAATTTTAATTTTAATAATCAGCTGAATCAAGAGGGCGCCTGTTGGGGAAAAACATTCTGGAAAACAATCTTGCAGTGCATCCATATGGGAAAGGTATTTGGGCAGTAGTTTAGAACATTGCTTCCATTCAAAATCCCCTTCTTCTTCCTTCCTCATCATGTGACACAGAGCAGAATTTTTGTAGCCTGCTGTGTGTTTTTCCAGTGCCCACATACACATAAACATATGGCCAATACTAGTAAAGAGTTTAGAAAAAATTCTAGAAGCTATGGTTTTGCATACTTTCATAGCTTGCTTATATGTAAAGAGCTGTTTTGAGATAATCAAGGTTACATGTATAAATGGAAAAGGAATAATTGAGTTGACTCACCTGTTAATTTCTGCTAAATGGAGATTCAGAATCAGACTAAATAAAGTCTTCTAAAATAATCGTATCATCTGCAGTATACATTGAGTGATTGTGCCATCAGATTCTGTTCCACATCTAAAATCATACTTTCTTTTACAAGCAGAATGATATGTATATTTGTCAGATGGATGACAAATCAAGTTAGAATGGCATTCATGAAATAAAAATTGCCAGAAATATTTTCAGCTATTTTACAAAATATGTATCAAATAAATCAGATTTTATTCTAGTACTTGATCCATAACAGTATATGCTGCTTTACAGAGTGGCAGGGTGGGGAAAGAATAAAAAGAATGCATCATTTTTTAAAATGAAAAATTAAAACTTTCATGGGATTTTGCCTCAACAGCAACAGTAACTGAAAACTGAAAAGAAAAACATAAGTTATTTTAACCATGAACACATTGAAGTACTACATGTATCCTTTCAGTTAAATTATGATTAATAAATATAAGAACATTGAGTATTTGATGAGTATACCTATTAATGGGTAAGAAGCTGCAGAAGTAGTGTGGAAGCTAACACTGAAATAACCTTGTTATAAAGCTTAAGGATTATTTATTTATTTATACCTAGCTAGCTAGCTAGCATTTATATGGCCACCCAATTTAATCAAGGTGACTATGGATGACTTACCAAACAGCAACAAAACTTAAAGAATACAAAACTGCAGTAAATACACCTACAAACAATAATGAAACAATAACACAGTGATCCAAACAGCAATTATACCATCATGGGGCTCCAGCACATCATGATTCAAGGACCTAGGGAAAGAGCCAGATCTTGACAGCCTTTCTAAAGGCCCACAGGGTCTTTGACCATGGACAGTTTTGAACTATGCTGGCTATAGATTTTGGCAGATCCTTGGGCGTGACTCCCTCACTGTCCCCCATAGGTCTATTTTCTTTCCATCATGGTTGCTAACTGGTGCTCCTTATCTTCCTCCTTTGTGTACCACCATCTGCTTGCTTACTAGCAGGATTGCTTTTGAGGAACAGAAAGGAGCATCTGTTGCTCCTCCATTACATCACCTAGGTAAAAAAGAAGTGGGCAAACAGCTATGTTATACAGTAGTGGCAAAAAAAAAAAAAGACCCAGGCTCACTGAGGTCTTATCAGTGGAATTGCTTCTCAGATTTTGGTTCATGGTTTGTGCTGAACTGCTGATCCTTCACCCTAGTCTCTCAAAAGAAATGAGATAGCAGCCTGATTGTAGTTTGTTTCAGACATTACTGATTAAATATAGTCATGTTTCAGATGTTACTGATTAAATATGTAAGAAAATCTTTGTATTGTTCAGAAATAAGGTGAAAATTTACATTGATATATATATTTCTTAAACGTGTATATTTTCCGTCAAATACACATTTTGAGATATTTTGAAGAACTGTGATGCACCTTCAGAGAACTGCACAACACAATGGATAATCACATTTTGATCTGTTCATTCATCTGTATACTGTGCAAAAAATTGCCATATTGTAAAACTACATCTAGTTGTCATTATGACCTGATAGATTTTGCTTTTAAAGACGTATTGCCATATATGAAATTCAATACAGTATACCCACTCTTTATATGAACATTGACCTAGCTCATTATGCAAATTTCAGTTACATGTTTTTTACTCTTTCCTGTAATGACTAATTCCAGAGGGGAGGTAATTTTATTAGGTTGTTGCAGGAAATAATTCAGAATTTTGTAATACTTAATTGTGTGGTAAGATTTTGTGAACAAGATAGCAGTTTTATAGATCTTTTTAAGTAGGCTGTAGTTCATAACCAAAATTGTTATGGTAATACATTTCATAATCTTTAAGATGCCAGAGACACCTGGGGGTGGGGAGTAGATATTTATGTCTAACCTTTGACATTTTCTTAACACTTTAAGAAAGCGTTTTAGCTTCAAAAAAGATCCAAGGTGATGAATAAGAATTCAAAGTTAATTTTAATATGATAATATTTAGTATTTGGCTTGTTTTCCTTTAACGATGTGGTTGTTAGGCTGTCTTTAGATATAATCAAGCAACATATTTATTTACCCTGTGGGTTATTGTATAATTGTTAAGGAAAGAAAGGGGAAAATAGAGATTCATATCTGCCAATTTGTCTCAGTTCAGTTTCCATTTTCTACTTGAGCAAAAGTTTCATTGGATGGTGTAATTTTAATACTTAATGGCAAAGATTCTTTAAAGGGCCTTAGTAAACCAGCATGATGACTGGAAGCAAAAATCTGAAGTTCTGTGGTTAACCTAGTCTGAAGCAGCTGGTCCTCTGCTGCCCTCTGGAGGTTATCCATTATAACTGGCAGCCATCATGGTTTCACAAGAACTTTCATGTGCTGTGCTCTTTCTTACCATACCAAGCTTATATAATTCCTTTATATAAGCAGAGACAATGTTCTTGATTAATAGCAAAGTGGCTTGCTCTTTGTTATGTTATAACGTGTTTTTCTGCATATTTCTTCACTTCTGATTCCATGAGGGTACAGAATTACTTTGTAAATCATTTTTTTCCTGCGAAAAATCTTTGGGGGAGGCGGAAGAGAGGTAGGAAATAAGAAATAGATTTGTTGTTTTACTGAATCTGTTCTTCTATTTTTTTCTAACAAAAACACTGTTTCCTGCATTCCAGAGTTTGTTTGGACACTTCTATTATCCATCTTACTTTAATTTTATATATAACATCTCATATCGTGTGTATTTAAATTTATGTGTACAACTCAAAGGTATGCTAAATAGCCCCAGAACAGTACTCTTTTTTCAAAACTGTTTTTTTTTCTTCTCTGTACACAAGAAATCTATTTTAACTCTGTCCAGGTCTCTGGGCAGAGAAGATTTAAGATTCTCTGTCCACTGTTCTCTCAGTGTTTACTCGTTTTATAACAGTTATAAATGTTTATAATTGAACATAGATATTGAGATCATTTTCCTCATTGGTCACTCTAAACAATATTATTTTTGTGAAGCGTGCAAAACAATCTGAGCTTGAAATACCTGCTTGGAGTGTTTGGAGCTTGAACAAACCATCACTTTCCAGAAGTTTTGCCCTGATTTCAAGGGAAAAAAACATGATTTTATATTGGCTTTGAGATGGCACAGGTCCCATTCAGAGTTGTATTGTTTTAAGAGTCTTGTTGACTTTTTTTTCCCACCATAGCCAATAAAGTAGCTTAGGACAACATTAGGTAATAGGAGAAGGGAGTTGAGATGAGGAAAACAACAGCAGTGATTTAAGGCGGTGACCAGTAATGGCAACTACTGCTTCGGGGCCTCAGTCACTGAATAATTTGGTTTATGCACAGGCAATTTTGGATGGCTAATCCTAACTTAAGAGCCTCATAAAGACTGTTTTCATTTGTCTGTGTCCCTGTCTGGAAAATAAATTTCCTGCTTTTTGGGAAAAAAAAATCTGCTATGACATAGTGAGTTCATAGATTGTTTTGTTTGTATTTTTGTGTGCTGTAAAATAAGTTTATCCAATATGTTTTAAAACATATTTCTTGGTGGGGGAGATGGAGCTTATAGCATTTTTTGTTTTATAAATTATGTTAAGCTTGTTTTAGAGTATGTGCTATATATTTATCTGTTTTATCTCAAAGAGGCAGTTTTATCTCAAACTGTGCCACCAATTATCAACAACCGTGGGATGGTTTTCCCAGAGTTGTGGATGTGGGTGTCAGATTGCCAACTCCTATTGTATAGAATCAGTGGTAGCCACCACTTCACAAAACAATCCATTATACTCCCAAGAGTTATTTCAAAAGTGAACTGGCCAAACATGCCAGATACCTAGAAACTGGCACAGAAGTGCTCATCCTTCTACTTGACAATGTCCTACATAGAATGCCACATGCTACACATCAGCTGAAGTCACCAGCAGTGCCCTATGTAATTGGCAGAGAAGTTATTTCCAAAAGCTGCAGAAGCAGCGACTGGCTGGCCTTTTTATTGCACTCTGGCACAAAGAGAGGGATGGGCTAAGAAGAAGGGGGCTGCACAGTGATGGGTGCAGATATAACCTCTCCAAGTGCCACAAATTGATCTCCATAAAGGAATCAGTGGGTATGGAGTTGCAGCACAGCAGCTATGCTAGCTCCTCATCCCATGCCTCACATTCAAAAGAAATTATTTCCAGGATTGCCTTGAGACTTCCCAGAACAAGCCAGGGAAAGCAGAGCTGGCTATAAAGTTTGAGAGTTAAAAAGAGCATGGCCACAGCTACTGTTAGGGAACTAATAGTCCCATTGCCATGGCAAGGAAAGCTTATGGCAGAAAGCAGGCACAATCAATATGAGAAGTTGAGAGGAATACCATGCAATGAGGCCTTGCTGAGGGACTAGACCCAAGAGGAATTAAAGGAAGATGGTGTGGAAATTCTTGGCAAATGCACTGGAGTTGTAGTCTTTTGTGGGTGGCTGCAGGGTTTCTTCCTCTTCTACCATAAATATGCATCTTAAATATTCCATATGCAGCTATCATGTAAGGCTAGGTTGGGTAGGCATGGGAGTCATTAGTATCAGGGAGCACACTGGAGACATGTACCCTTATTTACAATGGTCCTTGGTTGAGATCTGAGCATAAGGAGTAGGGTGGAATTAACTATTAGGCTGCTTCTCTGGGTCTGGGTAAGGGAGAATGGGAGAAAAGGAGGTAGTTCTATAGCTCTCCAGGATACCTGACAACCACTTCTTCAGTTTTGCTTGTGGAGTTGTTTTTGGTTTTGTCTCACAGGAATGGGTAGCAGCATAGCTGGTTGTCCTCCAGCTGAATTCAATACTTTTTCCAAAGAGGTTAAAACACCTAGGAGAACTCTTTCTTACTTTGCGCATAACTGACCAGCTTATGTAAGGAGATAAACTAATGTATGGCCGTAGTAACGCTATTAAATATGTCAGTGGGAGAGGATGGTTAGCATGGGTAACTGAAAAGGGGTTAATTGACTGAATCTAACCATTTGAGGATTAAACTCAACTCCAAATAAATCCAGTCACACATGGAGTTAACTAAGCCAACTCATTCAGCTGTGCCATGGAAACACCAAAACCTGATGAACTGGATTGGTCACAGTTTTTAATTCCACTATAGGAATCGAATCAGCCATTGTATATGACTCTCTGATGCCCAGTGGCCCTAGGGCAAACAAACCACCTTTCCCCAGTCAGGCTGCTTGTAGATGCAGCTCCTGCAACTACTAACAACCAGCATTGAAAACAAATTGGAAAAAAACTCAAACCTCAAACAATAAAACATATTTCCACATCTTCCCAAAGGAAAACAAACAGTAACACACAGTTATTAAGTGTTTGCCAAGAACCTAAACATTCAGGTGTATCTTTACAAATTGCATAAGCATCTGCCAGCCTTAGCTATACCCAAGATTTATAGCCCCAACTTTTACCACTCTGGGCATCTTACAAAATGGGTTCCACTAGGCAACATTGTTTAATTGATTGAATCCCAAGATCCTGGGTATGTCAGACCACACAGAAACTGCAGGAGTTATTGTGTACAATGTTTTAAAAAATGTGTTGAGTATCCACTAGGCTTGAGATACCTATTTTACTTTACCCCTCTCTTCCACAAAATTGAGCCAGAGCCTTTGCTGGCATCACTGTCACCACCAAGCCTCCCTGAATCCCTTAAAGGCTACTCTTACCAAAAAAATATAATAATGCAGCCCCAGCTGCAAAAGATTTTCCACCTAGGCATAATGCAATAGTTGTGAATTGTGGAGGTTTTCTTGTAGTAGATTCTCTTTCCTGCATACTGTATGTAACTGCTTCCTTCAAAGGTCTCTTTGTTTTCTTTTAGGAAGAAACCCAAGACAACTGAAAAACCGAAGTCTGAGGAGAATGAGATTACGCAGAAGGGTGCCTTCATTGCCAAGTCAGGCCTTCCCTGCCTGAACTTTGAAGCTGTCTCATCTCTGAGCCCAAATCTCATCCATTCATCCCATTCACTAAGAAACCTGCACATATACACAGGGTCACCTGATTGTAAGTACAGTAGTGCCATGGGGATATCTGAGTGTAACTGCTGAGACATGGTCTGAGTTGCTTAGTGTCAACCCACCCTCTCAAAACACTGAAATATTTATCTAATTATTAGATGAAGTAAGTTTATTAATATAGTCACACCCTAATCAATTGTTTCACAACCTTGGCAACTTTAAGATGTGTGGACTTCAATTCCCAAAATTCCCCAGCCAGCCTTGGGGGTTGAAGTCCACATATCTTAAAGTTGCCAAGGTTGAGAAACACTGCCCTAATCTATAAGAAGTGAATTTCTACACTTTGAAGTGGGCCTAGGAGGAAAGAGAAATCCAGTGTGGTAGCAGAATATTGTGCATGTGGTAGTGTAAGGGGACAAAACTGGGTCACTACACTTTGCACAATTACTACCATAAGGAACTGCATTTTAAAAAAATAATGGAACCAACTAAGGAAGGCTCTACTCGTTTATTTATTTACTGTGTATATTTGTGCTGTTGCTGTCTTTAATTCCTGTTTTTCAACATTGAAGTCAAAAGAGCTAGCAGCATTCTATAATCAGTGCAGTTGCTGCAATATAATTTCAAGTTATTAAGCCAGAAATAAAATAAAATAAAATAATTGCCAGATCATATTTATTCCTAGGTTAAAAGTCATTTTTATATGAACCTCCTAAACTGATGGTGCCTACTTCAGGCTGTATGGAATTACTGTTATGTTATGGAATTGATTTAGATAGGAACCAAATAGAAGGTAAATCATATTCCCAGAATTAGATATGAGAAATATATTGCAATCATAAACTGTAGAATTCAAAAATGAATCAGTATAAACTCTTTCACTTGGATTTAATTACTCCATTTTCCCTTTTAACTTGAATTCAGAACCACAAGGAAGCTAAAACTAAATTTCAAGAATCTTAAACTTATAGTCAACTGTTTAAACTACTGGAGCTTTTATAAGTACTCTAACAAGGAAACTGCTAGATGAATTGGACATATGTGAAATCTCACTCTCACTGATAACTGGAGGTGTTGTTTCATCTCTGAAATGGTTTTAAAATGAATAATTGCAAAAGTAAAGAAAGATTAAGGCCAACCTCCAAGATCTTGCGTGTTGCTGAAACTAATTTAAGAAATTTAGGAAAGAAATAGTTTAAAGCATAATTATTATAGAATGGCAAAATAGATTTTATGAGGACTGGTAGTACATATCTGAACACTAGCTGTAGGGTAAATAAATTAAATATTTTCTTAATAATCTGAGGGATAAATCAGTACAGTATGCTGAAAATGGTCTGACCTAGGTCTCTTATATTCTTATGAATTTAATTGGGGGTGGTGGTGGAAGAGCTGTAGTTTCAGATTTGTACTGAATTAGTACCTAAAGAGACCAAATGGTTTTGGGCAAACAAAATTACCCCTAACAAGTTTCAAATTCTCAGGAAGAAAAAAAGAAGGGAACGTTATTGGTATATACGCAGATTGAATCTGAGGCAGTACTCTTATACTTAAAAGAAATGTAAACAATCTGGCAGTCTACTATTTTGGGCTACAATGTATTTGATCTAAAAAGTGTAAGCATTTCACTGAGTTTGAAAGTCTTCTAATGAAAAATATAATCTAAACCGTTCCTGTCTCTGAAAACAGCAAGTAGCTCTTATTATAAATTATCAGGAAGTCACTGAAGGCAAAATATTTAATTTGGAACATATTTTATTACAGACTGCACAATGTATGTAAATTTTAAAAAATGCTGTGAAGCTGTTGCATTAGCTTGCTCTAGCAAAAATATTTTAAATTTGTTTTTGGAGCTTGAATGCGTGCTACAACAGGGACCCAATTATTCTTGCTCATTTAAATATTTTTCAGTAAATGATATACATCTTTAATCATTTATAAAATCAAAAACACTATTTCCAAAATATATATTTTAAACAATATAGAGAAGGAAGAAGTATCCAAAATCCTCTGCCAGTATACAACTTGTAATGCACTGTTTCTCCTTCACAGTCCTCAAGAAAGTAACAAAATTTAAAACTATTTTCTCAGTAGCTATTTTGCCTTTTTAAGCATTGAAAGTACAAGTAAAACAATATATGTAAACAAAAAATCCTTGGTTCCTATTAGGAAATCTGCCTGAGAATGACACTCAGCTATTTGCTGTAAGAACCTCTTCCTCCTCCTCCTAAAACTTTATCCCACTGTGTTATGTGGTATGGTACTAAAGGGCTTATGTTAAGCTGTCTGCTAAGCACTTTATTGCTATTCAGAGAAAGAAGAAAAACTTTTTTTGTTGACATTTTCTTTAACCTCATAGCATATATGTTCTCTAATTCTACACTGCATTCCCTAAAATATCTTGAGCTGTTAAGATCTCAGGCAAGCTATTTCCTATTTTACTTTTTTCCCAATTAATGGTAAATTACCTGTAATAACATCCTATTAGCCCATTTTCCCTGTATCCTAACCCAACTTAACTTTATTCCAAAATGACGGGTTCACAGCAGAAAGGACCTGTTTTTGGGCACCTGTTCTTCTACCTCTTAGAAGAGAACACAACTGGTACGTAGGTAGATTAAATCTGAGGCAGATCTCAGAGATATTCATAACCCAACGTATTTATGGCTTTATAAATATGCATCACAATTTGCATTAGAGGCAAATTGGTAGCCAGTGCATTCCCAAAGCAGAGATATTATACAGCTAGAATGGCTCTCACCCATAAGCAAGAGGTTGGCTGCATTTTATACCATCTGAAGTTTCCAAATGGTCTTCAAGGACAGCTCATGAACGGTGATTTACAGAAGTCCAGTCACAAGATGACAAGAACATGAGTGACACTTTTCTTTAAGTGATAATTTCAAAATCATGTCCAGTTCTAGAAATCTTGGCAGTTTTATTTTCCTCTTTTTTGTGTTAATTGATAGTATTACTATCAATTAATAGTAATAGAATCCATCTTTTTTACTGCTACCATATACTGGGTGACCATATTACTGAGTGGCTCATCACAACTTTAATATCTCCTTCTTGGCTAATTACTTTACAAGTTTCTATCTTATCACTGTATAAATAAAGCCAAGACTTTTTTTTTTTTTTTTGTGGCTATAACCTACATCATTTTACACACACTTACCATGAATTTCACTAGCCTTTTTGTTCATCTAAATAATCATCTTAACTTAGTTAATTTATGAAGGTTGTTTTTTTTAATAAAAGCTGATCCAGTCAATCATTTGGGGATTCCAATTTTATGTTTTTCGATCACAAGAACTGCTTTTTTACAGTATTGCTATTTCCTGCTATCTATGCTTTAACTTTCAATCCATAAGGGTCCTATGTCTGCTAAATTCAGGAATATTTGAGGAGAGATTGTGTCGAAAACATTTTGAAAATCAAAATACACAGTGTGTTCCAGATCACTTCCATCCATAATTTGTTGGTACTTGCAAATGTTTCAATTAATGAAGGAGAATTTACTTTACCTATAGACTCCTGCATTGGGAAGGGCTTTAACTAGATGATTCCCAAGGTACCTTTCAACTTTTACATTCTGTGTTTCTGTGAAATTGTGCTGAGCATTTCTGACCTTTAAGTCAAATGCTGGCCTTGAGGCTTGCTAATCCAGATTTCTGAATCCTGGGCTATACCTGCTCATTGACCTCACTTCAGGCTATTAGCTTTATTTCATACAGTCTGTCCTCATGTTGCATCTCTGATGAGGAAACCTTATATGACATGGGAATTCAGAATACCTGGGTATTAGTAAGAAAACCTTATTTTCATACTGAGTAAAAGTATCATATCTGCAACTTCATCCATGTTTTGTTCTTTTTACATCCAGTTTTAGATTCTGTACTGACAGATTTTAAGGAAATGCAGACTTCAACAGACAAAAGTTTATTGGTCTGATTCTGTATGTGTTTAAGTATGTTACCTTCGATAATGCTTTCCACCAATTTATGTATATGTTGATTTATATGTTGGATGAGTCCAAATAAAGGCTCATGTAGCTCTCACAATTTGGAGATCCATGGTGGTCTTTTTCAGATTCTAGCAGTCACAAAATCTCAGTGTCTGTGTTTACATG